CCTGCCCAGGGCAGGGGGTCAGACCTGATGATCTACAAGGTTCCTTTCGACCCTACTTCTATGAGTCAGCTACCGAAGCTTTGCAAAGCCCTACCCTATATATTTCAATATTGGCAAGTACACCAAGAACCACAGATATACACCAAGGCATGAATTTCTAACTCAGTAACTGTGCCCACACAGAGGCATTATTTTTAGACACAAGAGATGGCTGGTAGTGAGGGAAGGTGTTTTGTTTCTACTACACATTACTATTGTTCTCAAACATGGCACCTATATGCAGGTAAAATATACTAAGATGTCACAGAGAAGGCACAGCTTTCTGAGACTCTGGAAAACATCCTGACATCCTCAGTATGCTTACTGAGGAGTCCAAAGAGAGTTTACATTTAATTAAACCCTGTATCTATACCATGCCCACAAAAAAGAAAAGCAAACTCCACAAGTAGAACCAAGTTGCAGGTTCCAGCCACTTTTGGCACTAGTCCCTTTAAAAAGAATAGGTATTCCTATTCTTCCTCAACTCACACATAGCCAAAGGGATTTGGGTCAAACTTTCGAAAAAATTTGTTTACACTCAACTTCTTGTTGAAAGTAGACAATGCCAGTCTAAAAGATGGATAGTTTGGGAAGCTGTGAGAGGCTGAGAACAGGGGGTTATAAAGAAAGCACTCGCTATGTTAATGATACCATAGTACAGGTGTATTTCTAGAAGTCACATCAATAGCTAATCCTTACTACTAATTCCCTGGATTAGTGCTATGAGCACTCAGAGACAGATAGGCATCAGTGCCTCTACTTTTCAAAAGCACCACCTGCCAGTAAGCTAAAGAATTGTACTATATCTGGCTGCAAAAAGCACTTTATCCCATCTAAGCCAGAAAGGCAATAGTTCATAATACAGGCAGTTTTAAAGGGAAAGAATCCTCCCCCTGCACCTCGACTTATATGATACTCCTCTCTCTGTCCGCCTGGGGTTGGGATGGGAAATAGAGGAATACCTGGTCTGTCTACCACTTAACAGGAAAGAGGGTCAAAACATTTTGGTTCTGTTCAGTTACCACAGACAAGGCATGAAATTTCTGAACAAGCCAGCCCCTCCCGCATAACTAAGGCAGACACAAGCCTCTAGGTAGGAATCACACAGCACAACCCACCTCATAGCCATACTTCAGCACACAGGAGGCAAGGAAGGCTCCCAGAATGTTCCCCACCGATGCACAGGCACTCCAGAGTCCAAAAACAAAGCCCCTCCTGAGTGAGCCATGAGAAAGGATATAAAAAAAAAAAAAAAAAAAGGGGGGAAAGGGTAGTGTTAGAATGGCTGAATCTCCCTTTCCTTTGCATCCAAAAGAATCTCTGCTTTAAATTAAAATTCCAAATAACCAGCGTACAATATACTAAGTCAATATGTCAGATCCTGTTGCGCACAAGTCAAACTAGGGTCTGGGCCAGCTATGTCAGGACACTAGACATTGGGTTGGATCTGGTCTCCTAGACAATATCTAAATGACAGGTTCAGATATTACAGCAGATCAAAGTTCTTGTTAAGCTCCTGGGACTGCCTAATATCGGCTTACTTTACATGCTTTGAAACAACTTCTAAGGTCTGGAAGCTTACTACGTTACATGTCAAATAACCTAGGTGTGCAATTTTTCATGTATGTGTGCAATTTACTTGTACACAAATCCTGCAACTTTGTTCAAAATGCATAATCATACATGTTGGCTTGCACATACAGAGCAATATTTGGTAACAAAGCACGTTTCATCACAACAGAACAAACTTAACTCTGACCTAACGTAAGTTAGATTTAATCATCGTGTAATGAACTCCGTATTATTTCATAATCAGATGAACAGTAATTATTAGGGCAGTTTAAAAAGTAGGTCATTCACTATTCTTCTATGTGCTTTTTATTGCTTGGGTGCTGCATGCGTAAGAATACTATCACTTAGCAACCCTAACCTGATTTGTAAAAAGATTTTCTGTTTAGGAATTTCAATCAAAACTGTAAAGATTAACCCACTGACAGGAGAAATATGACGTACCCAGCTTTTCCAAACCAGTTTCCCATGACAGCAACAACGCAGGGCCAGCCGGTGGACTGCAACAAGCCATTCAGGACCCATAAGCAGCAGTAGAACCACTTGTTGTAGAAGTGCAGCCATTCTGTGACAGTACCGAACAAAAATACCTGTGGAAGGGGAAAGGAAGAGGAGAAAAAACTGTTGCTGCCACTAGATTGTGATGCATAGGAGCTATCAAGGCTAACCAATCCTACCTGAACCCTGAGAAAGAGAGGAAATTAAAGAAAAAAACAGGACACAGTGCCTCAAATTAGATTTAGAGGCAACAGCGCCACCTGCTGCGTCTCCAACAGTACTTTCTGCAACACCCCAAGCACCTCCGTCCAGTGCTGAACCTAGCTTAGTCACAAGATCACAGCCCAAAGAGTTATGGCTGCAGGTTATTCACAAAACAAGATGTACAAGAGATTTGTAGCAATATTTTAATACATTAGCTTTAGTAATTTCTACTTAACCAATGCATAAACCTTGCTATGTCTCTCACAAAAAACTTGCAAAAAAACACAACCCCCCTTCCAATAGTACTTCCATTCTTTCCTTCACAAATGCTCAACAGCAAAGAGTAGAGTTGGATGTCAAATTATTAAAACACTAGGAATTAATATTATATATACATCTGAAATTGGTCTCCCAGGTATTGGGATGAATCTGAGGCATAATGCATATTTTGAATAATACATCTTGACAAAATAAAATTCATTCACTACATACGCATGGAAACTTGAGACTAAACTAGTCATCCGTTCTTTACAAATATTCCCTTTTAAATATTTTACACACACACACCCCTCCATCTGAAAAAAAAATGATCACTTTAATACCAGTTTATTAGTTACCATTTCCTAAAAACATTGAATAAGATGCTTGGAAAGCATACATTTATAGCGTCAAGCATTTAAAGTTACATAGAGACTTGGAAAACATTCAGGATGCACAGAATGAAGAGTGCAGGCCCAGATTTGTCCCTCAAAAACTCAAGCAACTCCTGATGTCTTTAGTCTTACCAACATAAAGTTCTGTTGACACAGCTATGTTGGCTAGGGGCATGAAACGATTACACTTCACAGCTAACATAGCTATAACAGCAAATCCTCATATGCTGATGCAACTCTGACAGTAGAGAGCTCCTGCTCACAGTTGTGTCTGTTCCCAAACCCCAGCTGCTGCAGCTTTGAAAGCAGCAGCTCCATAATGGACAGACATGCATTTTAAATGTGCCAAATCCCGATCCAAGTTGGAGTGCTTCAGCACTAGGCAGAAGTCTGGAGGCTACACCGTGGAGGACTTCAAAATGGCCACAAAGGCATACAGTGTTGGTGCTCTCCAGCCAAGGTCTCCACAAGTTCCCAACAACAGCCAAGCACACATGAAAATGTTCACTGGCTTTCTTGATCCTAGCCCTCTGTTCAGAATGTGAGGGTATCAAAGCGCTGCAGAATGACAAGTGATCAAGCAACCCTCTATTACACTCCACAGGAGGATGCATACCTTTCAAGGAACCACTTCAAAGTCATTCTCTTTTATAAGGATGATTCTTGAAGTGCTTCTTCAGCTACAAAAACCTGCTACAACTACCTGGAACACTTCAAAGACACTTGGAGTCCTACAAACAGCATGTCTGTTCATGGCCAACACAAACTAGGCCTAGGCCAGAGACCCTCAGAGATTTCAAACAAAAATTCATGGTGTCAAAAATATTCAGACCTTTAGGTTCAAAGACACAGAAATAATGTCATTCTATTCTAACCAAAAATATGAGTTTCACATTAATAAGTTCTGACCGGAGAGAGGCATTTTCCAACTTACCACCAGTGCAGAGGAGCACATGCCAAAAGACAAAACCCAGCGTAAGTTCAGGCGATCTCCAACTATGCCACTGACAAAGAGACCCTAAGAACACAAATCAGCAGGTTAAAGTCAAAATTTATACTTGTATTAAAGTGTTTCCTTAAGAGTTAAAGGAATGCTGGGAAAATCAAGCTTCAACCCCGAAACAAGAAAACTTTTATAAATCTAACCTACTGTCAAGAGAAAGAACTGACAGAGAACCCCCTTGAATGTCTACAACCCAAATTTGGCCACACTGAACTAATTTGAGACAGCTAGGAAGTGACACTGATCAAATTATGAACAAAAGTAATGCTGTTAATCTGGTTTTGGTGTCCAAAACAGTGAAAACTAAGATTTCTGAAAGTTCAGCTCTAATTCAGGATGTTACTGGTAATTCAAGGTAGGCATATTTGCAAGAGCCAAGGACTTTCTGGGCTCAAAAGCTTATCCAACATCTATTTTACCTATGGTTGGCCCAAAACATGATAGCACAAAAAGCCCTTGCCTCTTGCAAACATCCTAGAACATCACAACTGCAATGACACTCCAACCCTACTGAAGATATCTGCCCAACATTAGAAATGTGACAAAGGAATGTTGTTAAGTAGAGGTGCACCAATGTATTGGCTGCATATCGGACTGGCACCAATACAAGGAAAATAAACATGATCAGCCATCGACTTTTTTTGCCCTGTGTCCGATAATGTCACAATAAATGCCACACGCAAGCGCGCAACTGCAGCACGTACGCAGCCAGGAATGCAGCCTGGCAACTTGGAAAGCAGCATCTGGCTGCTAAGTCTGTGTGGGGGGAAGGGGAGTAGGAGGGGGAAGGGGCATGGGGTGGTGGGAGACAGATCAAGGTCCCCATGGTGAGGGTGTGGGACAGGAGCTAGGTTTGGGGTGGGGGCAGGCACTGCCCAGCCCAACCAGGGTGGTGAATGTGACCCTGTGGCAGTGGCAATGCATAGGGGGTGCACATACACCCCGAGAGCAAGCGTTCCTGGGCAAGGGAGGCAGGCAAGAGCGCTGGTGCCACCCCACCCCTGAGAGTGCTGGCTGGGGAAAAGGGGTGCCAGGAGAAGTGGTCCCCCTGCGGCCAATCACACTCACCTGGAAGTGGCAGCAGTATGCTGCTGCCACTTGTGGGTCTGTGACAACCCCACTCCCCCGGTCGGCAAGATCAGCCACAGTGGGACCCTCCCACCCTGGTCACTGACTGTATGCTGGAGGGGGCAAGTGCCTGACCTGACTCAGGAGGCAACAGCTGCCCATACCCCAGGGGGCAGTTCATCTAGGGGGCGTGGAGGGGAAGCAGCTCCACGCCACTGCGCGCACACCCCTGAGGGAGGCATGGGGGGCATGTGGCCCCCCCCGCCGATTTGTGTGCAGGGCAAAGGTGGGGAATTTCGAGGTGGCTCTAGCCCCCCCCAACTCCACCTGCACCACCCCTGTTCAGGGCACTCTGCTCTGCTGCCTTTCCCTTGGCAGCCAGGCCATGTGAGGGAAAGGCAGCAGAGTAGTGCTCAGAGCACAAGCAGTGCTGGGGTGGGAGGCTTGAGGGGATTACAGCCACCCCAAAATTCCATGTAAAAACCTTTCTGGAGGGGAGGCCCAATTAAGGTAGCTCAGTCCTAAAGGAGGCCGCCACTTCTCTCTGCCACCAAATTGTCACCTGCACTGCCAAGTCTCCCCTGCCAAATTACCATTGAAACCCCAACTTCATGGGCTGAATAAATATCACTTAGGGTGCCTGCTGACGTGTGAGGCTGCTGCTCCAACACGCTGTAATTAAAGCATGTTGAAGCACACTCGATTAGTCAAGTCGGTGGGAGTGTACTAATCAGCATGCTCCAGCAGACACTGCATCTTGTGTATTCAGCATCCCTGCGCTTCAAATTGGCAGTGGGCCACTTTAACTAAAGCTCCTCAAATGAGCTTCAGTTAAAGCACCCCTGCTGCCATTTTAGAGCACAGGAAACTGAATCCACAAGACACTGAGGGCACTTTCAATTGGCTCTCAGAGCTACTCTAATTATAGAGCCTCCCCACCCCTGCCACCCCCTGGAGCACAAGTAAAGAAGCCCTTTGGACTGAATCCAGCTCCTGGGTGGTAGATAGCCAATCCCTACTCTAACATCATTAGTATCAGCCATGCCTAGACAGCAGATCTTCTCCTCCCCTCCTCTTTTACCTGAACAAAAAAACTTAGTAGGTGACCGTCCCCCACCATTTCCACCCCAGTATATTTTACTCACCACAGCATAGGAAAAGAGAAAGATAGTGTCCAAAGTCCCCAGGAAAAGAGTGGCTTCTTCCGCAGTAGAAAATAAATGGCTACTGTTCCAGAGCTAAAAAAGAAACAGGTCACATCATGAATCTCTGAAGAGCCTGGTTTTACTTTGTTCTTAAGCAATACAATTTCATCTGCTTCACATACAAAACATACAAAAGCCTATCTGTTAAAATATTTTCATGACTGATTGAATCAAAACTATCTATTGCAAAAAGCTCTCAATGCCTTCTTCTAGGTACCTCAACTACCTTCCAAAACCCATGAGAAGAAACCAGGAATGAGAAACATGCCACAGAAGTACAGGCTCCCTTGCATACAATCTCTCCTGGAACTTTCAATCTAAAAATTAAACAAGTAACTTGATAAGTGACAGGCCACAACTATGGAGGAAAGACAAACAAAAAAAAGCAAAGGGAAAGTGCTATTGTTCTTGGGAAAGTGCTGTTGACAAAGCATTTCAATGACTGACTTTATTGCTAGCTTGTGTTTAAACGGGGATTTCATTTTATTTTCAGTGCGATCTGACCCAGGAAGGAAAATGGTAATCCCAAAGCTTACATCAGTGATAGACCACAAGCTGAAAACAGTTAGCTTTCAGGATGGATTGGGAGGATAAAAAAAGAGTTTATCAGAAAAACTAACTAACTAACGCTTAAGGGTAGGATTTCCTGTGCTAGGAGACATTTACTCCACTTTATCAACTGCACTTTTTTCTCTGTCATACTCTTTCTGGGCACCTTTTCCTTTTTAATGTGTATACACAATCAGGCCTGATATGTGACAGGCGCTTTATTTGCTCTGTAATGACAACAAATGCATTTCCCATCTCTTTGCTTTTAGCCAGGTCAGTACATGGAGTCTTTCCAGCCAAGTATTTGTTATACCTACCCTTACTCTGCTTATGAAATCTGTCCAGGCTATAGCTTACCAACAATTCTATTTCATTAGGTTTTTTCAAAAATGTAATATACCCCCACATGCCTAAAAAAAGGCTGAAGACCTCTAATTACTGCCACTGGAGGTCACTAGAAGCCTCTAGATCAGTAAATCCCCAAACCATGGCAGACAGTTCAAAAGACCATAACCAAGCAGCCTGGCCACGCACTGCATAGTGCCACCCCTTATTTCTCAATTAAAAGTGTGAGAAGGGTGCATAGTGATCTGTGAGCAATTGTGAACATGGACTGTGATCTGATCAGCAAAGCAGTCCTCAAGCCACTGATCTATGTTATTTTGCTAGCACAATAATTGTATTATCTCCTCTCACAGAAAGTTAAGCATATAAATAAAGTGGTTCAATTCTAATTAATAGATACAATATTATATCACACTACTTTGTTTCACAGCTACCAATGTGTGCTAGTCTCTTTATAAACATATGTAAATAAATACATTTATATACACATAAAAATATGTAAGCCAGAGAGCTGTAAATAAATCAGAAGTTTACCGTTTATAATCATTATAAACACAAAAGTATCAGCACTTCTTCTTTTGGCAAGCATTCAAGGACTGGCTATTTCTATAAATAACAAGGCCAGTCCGAGCTGCCAATAGCAAGAATAAAAAGTCTGGAAGACGCCACTCTTTCACCAATGGATTTAGGAAAAAATACTTCCCTGCGGACAAGTTATTAATGTATGGCTCCCTGTTTTATCATCCTGAAGCATCTAGAGCTAGCCACAGTTGGAGACAGGCTGATACAGCATGGCAATCCTGTGTTCCTAACACAAAAAGGATCTTTCTCTGCTAGTGTTTCAAATTAATGGGAGATGCCTATAAGCATGGCAGGGAAAATAAGCATTTGCACAGGGAAGCAGGCAAGTGCAGTATATTTACTAAGCCCAAATACTGTTGAAACACACACTGATTTTACTATAAAAAAGACATTGGGAACTGCTGTTTGTTCAGCACTTTTGAAAAAGCAGGACAACTGTGTGCGCCTAGGTTTAGACACACAATTAAAGAATATTATGGCTGCTACATTAAACAGGTTGGATCTTGGGACAGTTCGTCTTCCCCTCCAATGCTGGCCAGCCTAAAAAAGAAAAATCCCACCACTAACACCACCAAAGCTCGGATGCAACAAATCAAACAGACTGAGGTGCAACTCCCAGTGCCACAGACAGTGGTTTTTCCTGTTTTCATTCTACTGGCTACAGTACAAAAGTTTTCCTCTAGACACACCACCCCCATTCTAACATTTTAACTGTCACTTCTCAGAAAGCTCCTTTAATGGGCCACTGGGAAAGACTCTGCTAACCACTGATGACCCACAGTCTATAGGTTGAGGACGACTGTGATCAGTCACCTGAGGCTTCAAACATTTTAGTCAAAGGCACCTCTGGTGGAGAGAGAGAGTTGCCTGTCCTTACCTCATATGGCTGGAGTTCCACGGCAGTGCTGTTGAGGAAAGTAGGGGTCCACTGGCTAGAAATGCTGACCTTGACATTGCTGAAAGTCTTTCTGGAAGCATGGAGCAGGGAGTAACTATCAAAGGGAAAGAAAACAAAGAGGCTGTCAGCCCATCACTGGAACAAAAAAGGAAAATGGCTCAAGATTCAACAGACAGTCTTTCATAGGGCCAGACAAAAATGAAGCTCTAATTGTTGGGGAAATTAAAGGGAGGGGGAAAAGAAGTGGCCTAATATACTGCAGGACACCCTAAATTTTGTTTATGAGGAAGGAATACCAGAGCCAGGGGTAAATGTCATCAGCATCACATTTCTGTAAAACATCCACCAGTTATACTCTTCCTCTGCCTAGAAAACTGGCTGAAGAATATAGAAGGGAAGAGAGCTCCTAGCAGTCATACAGTGCTCCTGCTGGGTAGACCACTCATTAGAGCTCTTCCCAGTAGTGGGATCTGGACATTACTTCATGCCAGTTTTGGGAAGCTGCTCACCACACTGGTTCTTCAACAACTTCTGGTTTCTGGTATTTTGCAACCTAAGTCTGTATGCAGTGAAAAACGCAGTTCAGACAGTCCGTCATCAGGAGTACTGTTCACAGCAACATCCAACACCAAGTACGATGTGCCTGCGCATTTAGTTATCTCAACAAACTAGAAGCTCTGACATCACAATCTCTACAGCCTTGCTTCTTTGCTTGTAAAGAATTTAGTACAAGGCATTCTCATTACC